AACTACTTCTCAAGAGTTTGAAAAGAAACACCCTGTATATTTGTGTGTTATCACATTATTTGATTTTCCTTCTCAGGGGCCTTTTTCTAATATAAGGTTATGGGGGTGTATACAGGGTGAGAAATATTATTCGTAACTTTAAGAGGTGATTCCTTGCATTATTCTAAGCAGGAAGGTTAATTATAACCTATGTGCGGAAATCAACCGTTTCAGGGCAAAAAAATGGTGAACTTATTTCTGTTTAGTCATGAAATAAATTAATTTTGCACCTTAATAATTCAAATTCATATGCCTAATAGCGTAAAATGTATCAATAAATCTATGTATTAATTAACTGTCTCTAAAATAATAATTTTCTTGCTTATTAAATTCAATTTTCCGAAGAAAAACAGACGAACAAAATCCCTTACACAACTGACAACGTCGTACGCATGTATCATCGCGTATTGTTGTAATTACTAATACATTTAACTGTAACCTTATATGATTTACGGATGTTGTTTTGTTTTGTCTTTTTTCGTGCATCGCATCCTTTCAAATAAGTGACTGATAATCGTGGGAATTGGTGGTGTGAATCGTCACGTACCGTTAAGTTCTGTCATTTTTTTAAGTAAATGTACTGTACTGCAAGCGTTATTAAATCAAAAATATTAGGCACAAAAAATTGCGTAAAAGTATTCAATAATTCAAGGCATATTTTCAACAAAAATATCAGACAAATGTAAACAATTCGATGAATCAGGTGCGGTCATGCGCTCGTATCGCGGCTGCGTTGCCAAATGTTTGCGAAAATTTAATTATTTACGACTCACTTTCCTTGAAAACGATTGATTTTCGGACATAAGTTATAATGAACTTTTTTGCTTAGAATACTGCAAAGGATCACCTCTTAAAGTCACGAATATTATTTCCCTAACACCCTGTGTATGGTGTTGCTTAAAACATTTTGCCTTTTTGACTTTATTGCATAAGGCTAGGCAGATTCAATTTGTAATAGAAATACGCCAATTCTAACGATCTGCCGTTACCAAGTAAATACTATCTTCTTATTTGAAAGATACTGCAGTACTGTTCATTCGCCTTGATATCTCATTTACAAACAGGTTAGCTGTAACCCAAAGTCCGGCCGTACAAAACCTCAAAAGCCTCATATAAAAAAAAATCTAAAAATCCACAGTGTGTTCCATCTAAAATTTCTGAGAAATCCTTCAATTTGCGCTATTGACCACCCTGTATAAACTGTTCAAATAAATGAAAAGTAAGTGAATAGGAACAAAATATTATAATTTTTCCTATCGAAAAAACACAGTTTTCTAGCTAGAACAGCTCGGGAGGTGCGACCAGTGTTTTTTATTTCGATAGTTTGTCAAATATCTCAACAATTTGTAAATCCTATAGTATGTTCATAAAAAATGGTGTATCCAAACCTGCAATAAACGTAACGCTTTTCATTTCTCCTGCCAGTCAATCTTGCTGTAATCTATACTAAGTGACATATAAATCTGAACACCCAGTTTAAATGGTTTTATTTTAATAAAATTTTGTATAAGTACTTAATGAAGCATAATAAGTAAATGATAAAAATTTCAAAATGATTGCGCTGCTTTAAAGCCCTTTGACCTTTAATAATGTGTGGATGCACCCTGATGTGCTACGCATTCTCCAACGCGCCTAGGCATGCTTCTGATCAGGTGGTCAATGTCCTCCTGTGGTATCTCAATCCAGGCAACCACCAACTCCTCTCGAAGTGCTTCTAGAGTCTGAGGAGGACGTTGCAAATTGAGCAATCTCTTACCCATCATATCCCACACGTGCTCAATTGGGGATAAGTCGGGAGATCTTGGTGGCCATGGTAACAATGTGACATCATTATGTTGAAAGAAGTCTATTGTGACTCTTGCAACATGTGGTCGGGCATTATCTTGTTGGAAAGTTGGATCTGCCAGGGTGTCAAGATAGGGTAAAAGATGGGGTTCTAGAACTTCGTGGATATAACGCTGCGCGTTCATGTTACCTCTGATGGAGATTAAAGGTGACCTGGAACCATAAGATATAGCACCCCAAACCATAACTCCAACAGTGTGATGAACATGTCTTTCAACAAAAGACTGTGGATTCCTCCTTTCACCACGTCGCCTTCTAACCCTGGTACGACCATCGCGCATGCCTAAACAAAATCGAGACTCGTCACTAAAGACAATACTGTTCCATTCCTGATCCCAGAGTGTCCGTTGTCTGCACCACTCAAGGCGATTACGTCGGTGTTCTCGAGTTAAAGGGAGGACCCAGTGTGGCCGGTATGAAAACAAGCCAAAACTTCTCATTCGTCGGTAAACACTTCGCATGCCAATAGGTCTTCCGTGTTCTGCAAACCATTCATTTGCAATGGACCTGGTAGTGGAGAAACGGTCCCTTAAGGCCAATAATCTCAGGCGGCGATCTTCACGGTCTGTTGTTCTATGGCGGCGTCCAGTGCCCCTTGCTCTTTGCGTACGGTCTTCTCGAAGCCATGCCTGACAACACCTAACCACAGTGTCTACACTTCTTTGCACTGTAACTGCAATTGCCCGAAAAGATAGTCCAGCTTCCCGAAGTTCCACTATACGGCCCCTATCAAACTCACTAAGTTGACGAAATCGTACAGGTCTCCGTACTCTAGGCATCGTAACCGATCGTAAAGGATGTCAAGAACCAAAATCCGCCAACGTTGATTCTTTACTGCGGCTGAAATATTCATTTTTAGAGTGTTAGTGAATTAAAAAAAAGCAGTATAAAAACCGGAATGTCCAACATTTTTTCACTTGTTATTTACAGTAAGATAAATACATTCACCAACTTTTATTAAAATAAAACTATTTAAACTGGGTGTTCGGATTTATATGTCACTTAGTATATTTTACTACTTTGTATCTTTCCTAAAAATTAAGTTCCATCAAAAAACCGGATACCTACAGATTCAAGCGGCCAGATCTCATACTAGAAGCATACATCCGTAGTGTTTTTTACCGTTTACAGCTACTACAGAAAACTATAATGTAGATTTTTTGTGGGAACTGATCGATTTCGTTAATTTAAAAAGAATCGCGGATACTCCTCTGTGGTAACACATTCTCTAGAGTGCTTCTGTCTACCTTAAAAACAAAATACTTTTTTTCAATTAGAATGAATTTAATATACAAAAAACTAGTGTGAAACATTTGAAACACATCACTCTGTTAATTTTATATTTTTATACTCCCAAAACTATTGTTTATCTATCTATATACATATATTGTATACTGGGTATTCCTTAATGATATGCGAATATTTAAGAGTGTGAATCTACATGAAAAATTAATGTTGGTTTGCTCTATAAGCTATGGTCCAAAAATGTTTCCTTGCAAAAACTCGGGGTGTTGAAGTTTTAGGAAAAAAAAAATAGAAATTAATTAATATTTTCAGAACTGCTTCAGATATTCCACTGGTATTTAGTACGTAGTGAAAGTTAGTAAAGTTGCATATTTTTCAATACTAAAATAATTTTTATCTTTAACAGTGGTGTGCGTACGGGTATTGATATTTTTAAGAAAAAAATTATACGCCAATAGTTTTTTGCCAAATAAATTATTTTTGAATACCCCGTTCAATTCAAAATAAATGATCTTTCTTGAATTGTTTTCATTTGATGCGCCATTTTTGAGTAAAAACATAAAACCATTCTATTGTCCAAACTTCCAAAATTATTATTAATTTAATTGGAAAAATTAAACACATTAGGGGAAATGAACAAAAACAACTGACAACATAAACATAACAATAAAAGCAACGAAATAATTACAAAAATAGTTGAAAAGGGCCACCTTCACTTAGTATGCATGCTTCCGCCGTCCTTCTCATGGAATTGCGCACTCGTTGAAATATCCCTGGAGTGTTTTTTATTCTATCACAAGCTGCAACTATTCTTTCTCATAATTTCTCTACAGGGTTAATGGGACTTGTGTAAATTTTTGAAGATACCACTGATAGAGGTCACACGCCTTGGAAAATCAATGGGAAGTAATGCCTGTACTCTTATAATATGGTACGGATATAAAAAAAATCCACTAAAATTCTCCAAACAATTTGATGGCAAATATTTAAGTGTCTAGCGATCTTCCGCATACTCGTTTCAGGATGTTCTTCGACTTCGTGCAGCACTGATTCCTCAATTTCAGGTATTTTTTTATATGGCAAAAAACCATTGGCGTACCACTTTTTTTCTCAAAAAGTATCGAAGTCAATATCCGTACGCACGTCACTGTTAAAGCTAAAAATTATTTTTGCATTGAAGAATATGCAACTTTATTAACCTTCACTACGTACTGAATATCAGTGAAATATCAATTAATTTCCATTTTTTTCCTAAAACTTCAACAGCCAGAGTTTTTGTGAGGAAATATTTTTGGACCATAGTTTATAAAGCAAACTAACATTAATTTTTCATGTAGATTCACACCCTTAAATATTCGCATATCATTGAGGAACACCGTGTATATTGAGCCGAGGTCATTGTCGTCTAAGCAACCAGTGAGATAAGCTTCAGTCTTTATTAGATGGGTACTTCGACAAGATTAAAGCAAAGAGGACACTTTCTACTTTATTGTCTCGAGCTTTCGATGAGCTATGCGATCATCATATGGAGCTACATTAACATTATGAAAAATAGCAAACAGTGCAAAACTGATTCTGCATTACTTATCATAGCACGAGAGATTGTTGCTAAATGTTATTATTTTTTAGGTTAGGGAAACATTTAGTAGCTTGGTAGATACGTTAAAAATAGTAAAAATACACACCTGTACGCCAGGAACACATCACAACGGATTAAAATAATTTGGTTGTTAAAATTTTAAGAAATTTTCTTTATCCACGATGTAATAAACAATACTCTAACGTAGAAACATTGTCATGTTCGTTTGAATCACCCCGTTTAAATAAATACGGAATACAAGAAGTCATTCGTCACTATGTGTATACATCACCTGTATGAACAGAAGCTACGAAAACAAGGATACACCAGATTTTGACATCTTTTCTATGATTTGTAGCCTACAAAAAGCTTAAAAAAAACGTCACAGCTATTGAACGTACGAAAACAACTCATACGTGTATCTCATATGGATGTTTCTTATGGTCGGAAAAGTCAATAGAAGAGATACGTTATCAAATCGTCCAACCAAGGCCACAATATCGATTTTTTCATACAATCGTTTTTGTCAGCATTGCCAAATTTCTCAGCATCGGATAGCCGGATGACTCCCAAAAAATTCTAATTCATTGTAAATATACATTGTGTTTTCAAAGTTCAGTCATTTATTTTAAGCGCTTATAGAACTCGTCAAAAGAAGTTGATATATCAAAAATTGCCTATATAAAAGCTCCATCATGATACACCAACTCTTTCAAATAGCCCCACAGAAAAATCGCAAGGCGTTAAACCCGGGAAGCGAGCAGGCGAAGAAATGCACCCTATCCATCTATTCGGAAACTCATTATACTCATGAATATCTCGTCTAAATGTAGTGGAGCCCCAACATGTAGAAACTACCTATTCTGTCTCACATTTAAACTAACATCTTCCAATACTGATCAACAGCTAAAAAATATCCTAAATAAAATCAACAAAATATTACTATTTTTAATGTGCTAAAACCGGAATGAAACTTATTTTTTCAATATTAGTTCAAGTTTTGGAGATACGGTAATTATATGTGTTCCTGCTGTGACAGTGTTAATATACTGTAATTCACAAGAATGCACGTGCTACATTTTTATATTCGGCAAGGAAAGATGATGTAATCGGCATGATTGTGTTACGTTATACATACGTGTACATTATATTGTTTTATATTAGCCATTTTTTCCTCAGTTGGCTGACAGCGTTCATGCAAAATGTCTCGAAAGTGTGTAAACAATCCAGATCAGTTTTGTTACGTGTGTGGTGATGTGACTTTTGCGTCTCAGAGACGGTCTATTACTCCACTAACAACAAAGGCATATCAGCTTTATTTCGGTTGTAAACTAGGAGATCAAGACAAACAGTGGGCACCCCACATCTGCTGTAATACATGTGCTTCAAGTCTGAGGAGCTGGTTAAATGGCAAAAAACGGTCTATGCGCTTTGCTGTCCCAATGGTTTGGAGAGAGCCTACAAATCATATTAATGATTGTTACTTTTGCATGGTACCTTGTGTTGGACAAGCCACAGGTATGTCCAAGAAAAAAAAAATCGGTTATTAACTACCCAAACATACCATCTGCGATGAGACCTGTGCCTCACAGTGACGAAAATCCTATTCCAAAACCCCCAGAATACTACACTTGCGAATCAGAAAACGAATCAGATCATGGCGATCAAGTGATTCGTCAGGAAGAAGATATGCCATCAACGTCAAGAGATCCTGATTTTATACCGAGCACGTCATGCCACCAACCGCACAAAATAACACAGTCAGAATTAAATGATCTTGTAAGAGATTTAGAACTTCCAAAATGTAAGGCAGAGTTACTTGGATCAAGACTGCAGCAGTGGAACTTGTTAGAAGACGATGTCTCGGTATGTGTTTTTCGTAAACGCCACAAAGACTTCAATATGGAGAATAACTTGGTTTTCTGCAGTAACATTAACGGCTTACTGGCGGCTTTAAATGTAAACTATAACCCAGAAGAATGGAGATTGTTTATAGACAGTACAACATTGAGTTTAAAGGCAGTGTTATTGCATATTGGAAATATTTTACCATCTCTTCCTGTAGGGTATGCAGTTCACATGAAAGAATCATATGACAATATGAAGTACCTATTGACATGCATAAAATACGATGAGCACCAATGGCATATTTGTGGCGATTTGAAAGTTGTTGCACTTTTACTTGGGCTACACAAAGTTTTGCTGTTTTTTGTGTGGATGGGACAGTCGGGCAAAGGCACAAAACTGGCTTGTTCGTCAATTCCTAGAGCCAGGTCAAAAAAATGTACAACATATGCCATTAGTAGATTCGAAAAAAATTTTATTACCACCACTGCATATCAAGTTGGGCCTAATGAAAAACTTTGTCAAGGCATTAGATAGAGATGAGTCAGCTTTTCAATATCTGCGTCAGAAATTTCCAAGATTAAGTGAGGCAAAGGTTAAAGAAGGTATTTTTGTTGTGCCACAGATTCGAAATCTTTTGAAAGATACACAGTTTGAAAACACTTTAACAGGTATTGAAAAAACTGCTTGGAATGATTTCCGTCTGGTGGTCACTAATTTCTTGGGAAATAGAAAAGCTGACAACTATAAAACCCTTGTCAAAAATATGCTGTCATCGTATCAAAAGATGGGCTGTAATATGTCTCTTAAGATACATTTCCTACACTCACACCTGGACTTTTGTGTTGATGAGCACGGCGAACGTTTTCATCAGGATATTTCAACAATGGAGAAAAGGTACCAGGAAAAGTGGAATCCTTCCATGCTTGCAGACTACTGTTGGACTCTTGGTAGAGATGCTCCAGAAACGATCCATAAAAGAACAGCAAAAAGACAGCGCATATAGTGATTCTTATAAGTACGTATATATGAATCTTGTTACTTTTTTTAATATATCCTTAAAAATGAAAAGTTTTTTTTCTAAACCGCAACTAATTTTTTTATTTCATTGTCATTTTTGGATTCAGCGCCCCAAAATTAACAACGAAGTGTACTTTTCCCACAAGATACAATTAAAAAACTAAAATTTGTTGTCTAGTGATTGTGACAGATTGTGCGGAATTTTACCGGTCAGTCGATGTGGAAAAAGTAGGGTTCAATAAGTATGCCATTTACTACGTCAGTTCAAACATTTAATGAAAATCTGCGTTGAAAATGAGTTTCCTTTTACGGCTTGCGGATTGTCTACTGCTCAAACATGATTGTTGTGAAAATTATGCACTTCATTTAGTGTAAATGTGACCTCGTCGGTACACAATATTAATTTCGCAAAATCTGCTGAACTGTTTTGAAAGCCACTGGCGAAATGCAACTTTTATAGTATGATCTTCAAGTTGCAACGCTTGTACCCGTTGATAATCACAAGGATAATACTGATCTTGTCATATTGTCTTCCACACTTCACTATAAGAAACTTCATCTCGAGCTGCTATGGCTCTAGTACTCATTGTTGGGTCGTCTTCGATCATTTCTAAAATTTACTCCTCAATTTATAACATTTCAGGTTGAGCAGGTCTTCCAGCGCGACCTCCTCGTTGTTCTTTTAAATATCCTGGGTCGAAAGTCTAATAACTAAATTTACAATCATCCGTGGGGATGGATGATTTCTTAAAGGAAGCCTTACCGCATGCGAGCTGCATGCTGCGGCTGCATATTGTTGGCACTCTCCGAATCTTAGTATAATTATGTCCACTAGTTACATATTGGAAATAGTAAGGGTCCCAAAACAGATCCTTGTGGAACACCAGATATGATATTGGTAGAGTTAGAAAAAGAATTATTAATGTCAACACATTGGGATCGATTAGTCAAATATTCCGTGAAGAACGATATAGATATATTATCAAAACCTAAATATACTAAGTGACATATAAATCCAAACACCCAGTTTTAATGGTTTTATTTCAATAAAATTTTGTATAAGTACTTAATGAAGCATAATAAGTAAATGGTAAAAATTTCAAAATGATTGCACTACTTTAAAGCCCTTTGACCTTTAATAATGTGTGGATGCACCCTGATGTGCTACGCATTCTCCAACGCGCCTAGGCATGCTTCTGATCAGGTGGTCAATGTCCTCCTGTGGTATCTCATTCCAGGCAACCACCAACTCCTCTCGAAGTGCTTCTAGAGTCTGAGGAGGACGTTGCAAATTGAGCAATCTCCTACCCATCAAGTCATCGTTGGTTGTCAGAGCGGTCCGTGGGACCTTAGCTCTTGAGTCACAGTGTCAGTTTGTAAGTCTGTCAGGTCTGGTAACCCAGAAACCAGACAATTTTAAGGAAAAAAGGGGAAGGAAAGAAGAGAAGGAAGAACGAGAGCAAAGGGGAAGAAGAGAATCTTTTAGGATATGCAGCGTTTAGGCATTGTTAAAATCGCTTCACAGATTTTGATATGGTCTAAACATATTTGATTTTTTCTAAAGATTGTGTCAAAATGCTCCAATTTTGGTTGTTCTAAGTTCACGAGTTAATTTTGATTACAGTGCGAGCCGCGGCCTTTTGTGCTTGCGAACTTGCTCGACTGTGTAGTCCACTGAATCACGCAACAGAGGGTTGCTGTGCGATTCCGCTAGGCTATAGCGCCGCTGCGCCTGTTGCTTAATGTAGTCCTTTAGGTAAGGGACATCGAGGTCTCTATGTAGAGTTTCGTTAGAGACATACCATGGGGCATCAGCAATAGTGCGCAACGTTCTGCTTTGCAGAACCCGCAGACTTCGCATGTGTGTTTTAGCAATAAAACACCAAGCCGCACATGCGTATGTCATTGCTGGTCTTATGACCACCTTATAGAGTCGAATCTTGTTAATCAAACTTAATTTTGACCGTTTACATAATAATGGGTAAAGCTGCCGAAACGTAATTTGGCATTTAGTTTTTAGCGCTTCCATATGGTTCCGCCAAGTCATCCCTTTGTCCAGAATGACACCGAGATACTTAGCGGAGGATTCCCATGGTATACGAAGTCCATTCATTGAAACTTCAGACGGAACGCCGCGACGTCTTTTTGTACAGTAGATTGCCTGCGTTTTCGAATGGTTTATTTTAATTAGCCACCGATCCGCCCAATCTAATACTTCTTCCACCGCACTTTGCAGCCTGTCATGGACTAGGTCACCAGACCACGACTGAGCCACCAATGCAGTATCGTCAGCATAGAGATAGACTTCACAGTTGCTGGGACTAGGGACGTCATGGATGTACAGTGAGTAAAGGATAGGTCCAAGGACCGAACCCTGAGGGACGCCGGCTGTAATCAGCCGTGTTGTCGACAGCACATTGTCAATTTTGATCCGAAATTTCCTACCTTCAAGGAAGGATTTCAGTAGTTTTAGAAGCCAAAAAGGGAAGCCCTTTTGGATTAGTTTATACAAGAGGCCCGCGTGCCACACCTTGTCAAATGCTTTTGAGACA